CAGCAGTGCCGCAAACTCTGTGTTCTATTGCTTTTGCCTCCAAGAGCTGCCTCTGCTGCCCCCAACAGCCCTGGCCACACGTGGCTAATTAGGTTATAATTAAAATTAAATAAGATAGAAAATGCAATTCCCCTGTCGCACCAGCCGCCTTCCAAGTGATTCATACCACTGGTGGCTGTGGCTGCTGTGTTGGCCAGTCGTCGTGGGATGTCCACAGACACCTCTCGGGGTGTACGCTGGGCCTTTCTCTCCAGGCCATGCTGGCCATGCCCTCCCTCCAGTCCAGGCCTGGAGCAGCTTCTCCCCAGGTGCAGGGGAGGCCCGACGCGGGCTCTGAGCCTGCGGGAGAAATCTGACTGGGGCTCCGGCTCCCAAGTCCAGTTCCACAAGCGGCTGACAGGCTTCTGCGAGCCGACGCACCTGGGCCTTTCCTTCGTATGGCTACTCTGACAGCGCCGTCCTGGGCCACTGCCACACACAGGCACCCTGTGGCCCTCCCGCCCACAGCCCTCGGGCTTGCCTCTGCCTGCCTGTGGCTGCGGGAGCCGGCCACATCGCCACTGGAACCTCTTTGTTCTTGGAACGTCATTCAAGTCCCTGGGTTCCTGTTGCTGTTGTAGAACCCTGCCTGAGCCCGGAAATAGCGCGCTGAGTGGCAGAAACGGGCCTGGGGCTTGGGCAGAGGCTTTGCCACGTGTCCTGCTCCTGATTGTGGTCACTCAGTCCTGCCTCAGCAGCTGCCCAGAAAAGCAGTGAGCTGCGCTCACTACCTGGGAGCACCCTCCGCGGTGGCTGCGGTGGCTTCCTGTGGCTGCTGTTCCAAATTCACCGAAACCCTGAGGTGTCCCCGGCGCCGGAGGGCAGACCCCTGCCGTGGGCCTCCCTGGGCTGACATCAGGGCCGTAGGGGAGAATCCACGGCTGCCTGGTCCCCTCCTGGAGGCACCTGCGTCCCAGGCAGGCGGCCCTGCCTCCGTCCTCAGAGCCAGCAGTACTGGCTCTCTGACCTGCTTCCCTCGTCCTGTCCCCCAGGCTCCCCTCCGCCTCTCTCTTCCACCCAGACCCGTGAGGCTGTGCAGACCCCAGATTGCACAGTCATCTCCCTGTCTCAGGGCCCTTGGCCAAGTCACACCTGCAGAGCCCCTCTTGCCAGCAAGCTCAGGGACTGGGATGTAGACATCTTCGGGGGCCACTGTGTTTTGTTTTTTTTTTTTTAAAGATTTTTTAAAATTTATTTGAAAGGAGGAGTCACAGAGAAAGAGAGGGAGAGACAGAGAGAGAGGTCTTCTGTTCACTGGTTCACTCCTCAAATGGCCACAGTGTCCTGGGCTGTGCCAGGCTGAAGCCAGGAGCCAGGAGCTTCCTCCAGGCCTCCCACGTGGGTGTGAGGGCCCAAGCACTTGGGCCATCTTCCACTGCTATCCCAAGCACATTAGCAGAGAGCTGGATTGGAAATGGAGCAGCCGGGACTTGAACTGGTGTCCATATGGGATCCCTGCACAGCAGGCGGAGGCTTAGCTTTCTACGCCACAGTGCCAGCCCCTGGAGCCACTGTTCTGCCCCTGGCAGAGAGGCAGCTGGGGCTGAGGCCCACTTGTGACCTCTGCCTCTCCTCCAAGCCGCGTGGACAGGACCCTGGCAGAGCAGCGGGGGGCTGGAGAGGGACTCCTCAGCCCGCGGTGTTGTCAAGGCAGCGTGAGAGGACATCCCTGCCCTGTCCCTGTCTCTTCAGCTGTGGGCACTGGGCCCCTGAGGTTTGGGGCTCGGCCTCCTGCTGAGTGTTTACCCTGGCCCTCCCCACGCGTTGGGGTCCCCATCTGTGGCCAGGCTGGTGCACGTGGGTGGGAGCTGCGGCCCAGCTCAAGGGGGCTGGGGTGGTCAGAGGATCTCAATGTCAGATCTGTACGACCCGTGAGCGCCCAGGACCAAGGGGCATGGGGTTCTTTGGGCTTCTCTGTCCATGGTCATCCCAAGCTGAAAGGAAAGCAACACCCCTGGCTGTGCGGCAGCCGCCACCTCCTCCGGCCGTGGCCGTGGGAAGGAGCGGTGTCTCGTGGTGTGGGTGGGTCTGCGGCAGAGAGAGAAACACACGCCTTTGACCTCCCCCTGCTCGGGGACCTGAGGCATCTTCCTTGGAGGGATTGCTGTGCCAAGGGGCTCTCAGGCCCCACTCCAACATTCCTGTCCTGGACCTGTGTCCACACGACACCAACATGGCCACACGGCAAGGACCATGTGGGTTGGCAGCGTCTCCTTTAGGGAGTTTGGGGGGAGCACCCCTCCCCTACTGCAGCAGAATGCCAGCGAGCAGCCTGCTGACTGCTGTCCCCGAAGCTGGGTGCACACGGGAGCGTCTGCAGCGCCCCCAGCCCCCCAGCCCCCAGCCCCCCAGCCCCCAGCCCCCCAGCCCCCAGCCCCCCAGCCCCCCAGCCCCCAGCCCCCGAGAGGTTGCTGCCCGCAGGCCCACTTGCCGATGAGGACACTGAGCATTGCGGGCCCTGGCCTGTCCCTGCTCATGGGCTGATTCCAAGCCAGATCAGCCTGACGCCAAAGCTGTGGAACTACAGCAGTGTAGCCTAAGGGGCTGTGGCCTGGCTGTCCCGAGGGTTCCATCAGGGCCTCAGCTGCTGTCCCCACTCGCCAGGCCCAGGGAGAACCAGGAGTGCCTGGCTGCTGCTGCTGCCACGCCCCCGACCAGTGAGTCTGGGACCTCCCTGCCCGCCGGCCGGGCCGCTCTCTGCCTTCTCCACGTGGAGGCCCCCAGCATCCACCTGCCACAGCTCTGCAGGATCTGCACACACTGGACACCGCCAGGCACAGCAGGGGAGGGGCCGGAGCCCCGGGGTGCCTGGCTCCTGCTCTTGTCACCAGGATACCACCTGGCCCTGCCACCCCAGGGCTCGGCCTTCCTAGTGCTGGGCCTCGGGGTCTGTGGGCCACAGGTGTGTCCCCGCCTGGAACAGTGTGGGCCTCTCTGGCCCTAGACTTGCCCACTCTTCCTCCATCTGCCTCCGTGTGCCTGGCAGCTCTGGGCACTTGGGCAGTGGCAGTGAGGGGAGCACTCCGGGGCCTTCCCCCGTGGGGAGAGCCAGGCAGGTGGACGGGGTCAGGTTTTCTCCTGGTGGCTGACATGGAATTCACCTGTCAACCCTGGCCAGTCAGCCACCAGATCCCTTCCTGGCTGTACAGTGTCTTAAGTTTAGGTCCTGTTTAGCATAGCCCCATGGCTCTCTGAAAGGCGAAATGGCTCCAGCTTGGGCTGTAGTTGACAATTTCCCTGCCTCTCGTGCAGTGGAACTGTTAGGTTCCGTTGGGGGCTCTGCTTTTTGCTGGTCTGTGCGATGCGCCTAGAATCAGCCTCCCTCACTGTCTGAAACCGAAGTCCTGCAGCTCCTAACCCTGGGTAGCGTGAGCAGGCGGGCCTTTGTGTGCCCGGTGGAGGTGGAGAGGGGCTACTGGGGCAGGGACGCAGGGAAGGGGGCGGGGGCACCTCAGAGCCCCCCAGGGCCGACTGTTTACTCTGAACTGGAAAGCAGGGCCCCAGGGCTGGCCTGCCGCCGTGTGCGTGTGTTCACTGTGGCTGGATGCCTTGCATGTGCCCCTGCGCCTTACCACTCAGTAGCGCCACCCGCCGCTCACCGTGTGGCTCCTTCCTTTTCCCCCAGAAATGGCCATATCCGGCACGAAGCACCCCCTGTAAGTATGAAGTTGAATGTAGCATGGAATGTTCTAGTACTTTTAACATGGAATAACCCCACACTGCCCCTACTTGTCTCCTGCTCTAGGTCTCTGAACGTGTCTTGTGCAGCCTGTCCTGGACTTTGGGCCCCGGAGCCCATCTTGGGCAGGGATCTCCTTGAGCCTGGCCCTGAGGCTGTGCTGTGGGGAAGGGTGGGGGCACCCTGGCCACGGCAGAGGGAGCAGCCGCACTCGGGCTCCAGTGCTTAGCTTGGAAGCCCCCGAGCTCATGTAGCCTCGTGGCTGGTGACACCAGTGGTGATGATCACGACCGTGGACCAGGCGCCAGGTCAGCGTGGCGCTTGTTTCCTTCCACCCCACAGTTGGCCCCAGAGCAGGCTCATCCATGTCCATCGACCGAAGAAAAGCTGGGGTCTGTGAGATTGAGGTTGTGTAGAGAGAGGGGGCCCAGGCCTGCGAGGGCAGCGGGGCCAGAGGCAGCCACCAGGACAGGCCGTCACGGGTCAGGGCTGAGGGAGAACGGGTGAAGTTGCAGCGTGGAGCTTTGGACTGCACAATCACATGACACTGCTCGGGTGCTGAGAGGTGGTGAACCCGGGCGGGGCCCTGGTGTGGCATCCAGCAGCTGGGAGAGGGAGCTCTGGTCCCGTGGACGAGACCAGCAGGGTTCCCAAGTAAACCTGACAAGCAGTCACGTAGGATCCCACCAAGGAGGGTGCAGGAGGGCTGGGGCGGGGGCCTACGTGGCAGCAGCGCAGAAGGTGGCTCAAGGGAGACCTAGGGCCGCCGTGAACTTGGTAGTGTGGCCTGCCACTGTCGGCTCAGCACCGAGAACCTGGAGCCCCTGAAGGGAAGGTGTTGGAAGTTCTCTGGTGCTCAGAGCGGCTGGTGGCAGTGGTGGGGCCCACGACATCAGTAAGGCCACAGAGTGGACAGGGCCGGTTGTAGATCGGAGCTGCACCTAGGGAGGGGCAGAACACACCCACACGCAGAGCTGCTAGAAAGCAGGTGGGGGCCTCCCCTCCGGGACAGGAGTGGCTCAGGGACATTCGGGCAGCCGCTGCCACCTCTGGCCTGTGCAGGGGACGGGCTGGGCTGATGGCCACCGGGATTCCTGATGACAAAGTAAGCATTCGTGGGTTACTAACGGCGCATTCTAATATTCTGTCACTTTAATGTCCCCGTAGTTGTTACAGCCTCCGTGTCACTTACCCAAGTGTCCTCTAACTGTCCTTGGTAGCCGTGTCCTCCCCAGGCCCCTGCCCGGCTGCCCGTGCCCTAACGCCGCCCTGTGCTCCACAGGCTGTGTCGTCACCATCTCTGGGCGCATGACCTTCACAAGCAATAAGTCCATGGAAATCGAGGTCTTGGTGGACGCCGACCCCGTGGTGGACAACGCGCAGAAGCGCTACCGGGCCGCCAGTGCCTTCTTCACCTACGTGTCCCTGAGCCAGGAGGGCAAGCCACTGCCAGTGCCGCAGCTCGTGGTGAGTGTGACCCAGGACCACTGTCCTCTCCCGGGGGAGCAGATCGGGGCCTTTGGGCTGCACCTGCTGGCCTGTGGGGTGGGACTGGGCAGCAGAACAAGAGAGATCCCTCACCCAGCTCCTCCTGCTCGCCTTTCCTGGAGGGTGCACTTGACCTCTGACCATGTGACCTTGAGGTTCGGTTATTGTGTATGGATGCGAGGCAGGGGTTTGACGGCTGTGCCCTAAGCCCCCTATCCTCTGCTGCCTGCCGAGGGGCTTGGTGAGGACTGAGGGGATGGACTGTCCCACTGTGACCTTGGCATGTGTGTTCTGCCTGGCGCCCACCAAGCCAGGTCCCTAGACTGTGGGGCTGAGGTCCAGGCTTCAGCCTCTCTCTGCCTGAGGCTGCCAGGCTTGGCTCTGCCCTCTGTGCAGCGAGGTGCGTACAGGGCATGTGGCGGGAGGGTGCCCCCCACGTGCCCTTATTCCTGGTGCTGCTGCCCCCAGGGTCCCTGTCCTTAGCTCTACCTGCATTTCGTGCTGTGGGTCTCAGCCCAGACGCAGACCCAGCAGAGTCGTGGATGTCCCAAGGGGCCCTGCAGGGTCACAATCCCACGTGTTAGTGTGGCCCAGCGACAACTTCTGTCTGTTGTAGGAACCTTTCCTTTGTAAGCCAGACCCCGTGTCTGTCACTCAGGGACAGCTGTTCTGGGGAGCAGAGGGCCTGGGCAGGAGTCTTTGGGGCGCCTGGTGTGTGTGGAAGCTGCCAGGCTGGGCCCTGCTCCCGGAAGCACTCAGGAGTTCCCCTGCGCCCGTAGCAGGGAGGCCTCCCTCCCTCCTCAGCCTGGGAGCTGCTTCCTGGGACGGCGGGGCCCCCAGGCTGGCTCGGGCCGGCTGGCAGCTTGCTTTCTGCTGGGGGCTGAGAGCCACCTCCCCGTGGCGCCTCCATCAAGGCCCCCGTACCCCTGCTCCTTCCTGGGGGTGGTCCCCACACCTCATCTGGGCCTGCGGGAGCAGCGCCAAAGGGCCATGTGTGAGAGGGCCGTGGTGGTGACCAGTGGCAGCCAGAGCACCCACAGGGCCCCCTCCTGTCCCTCCCCTTGGCCTCTCCCCTTCTGTCAACACTGGTGGGTGCTGGCTCGTTGCTGGAGCGGGGTCCTGCTCTCGGGACTCTGATGAGTCAGGCAGTGTGGCTCCCAGTTGCTGGGGTGGGGGTGGGGTCTGTGCAGCCGAGCTGATGGTGACTGTGGACTTGAGGGCTGAGCACTCAGCCAGACTGATGCAGGGAAAGTGAGCTCGGGCGGGGCTGGGGCAGGCTCGAGCGCCTGGTACCTTCCTGCCGACCACTTCCGTCCAGCCTAGTGACCACCTGCTCTCTTCCTCCTCTTGTCCTTCCCCAACCCCGCCGCAAGGTGCAGGCCTCACACGGCGCTCTGGACGTGAGCTGGCGGCCTGCCTTGCCCCACTACTCCTCCTCTGCTGGCTTTTAGAATGCGGTGCAGAGATGGAGAGGGGACCCCCCACCATCCCCACCGCATCACTGCTGATCAGACAGCTCCCGCCCCGTGTGGCCAGGCGTGGGCCTCCACCTGCACAACCCGGTTCTCCTCCAGACTGGCCCCTTCCTGGCTCTCCTCAGCCCTGCAGTGCCGGCTGCCTGCTCTCTCCTGGGTCCTCTGTGAATCTCCGCCTCCCACAGCCAAATCCCCGAACTCTCCTCACCAGCTCCTGAGCCCTCAGGGCCTCCTGGACTCCAGCTCCGCTCGGGCAGCAGGTGGCCAGCTCCAAGGACGCTGTCAGTCCTTGTCTCACCAGCCTCTCCCTGGCTTTCGGCATGAGTGGCCAGGTTCCCTGTGAAGCCTGTGCTGTGTTGGTCAGGACCCGCAGCCTCCCTGGCCGCCCTGCCACCCCGAGGTCCTGCTCTCTTTCCCCTCGGTGGTCAGCCCACTGCTGTGCCTCGTGTGTGGCTGGGGACACTGAGGCAGACCTGGGCTGCCCTGCCTCTCTTCTCAGGGTCTGCATAGCCTCACAAACAGTTTATCACCAGTTGAACTCTTGATCTCTCCCTGTCCTGCCAGGGCTGGGCCTAGGGCTGGCCTCTCACTGTTCTGCCCCCCCCCCCCCCCGGGCTGCCTACCCTGCCCCAGCTGCTCTCTCCATTCCTGCTGCCCTGGATCCGACCCCACACTGCATCCTGCTGAGCTTAGGATCCAGGCCAGGTTCACTCCCTCTCCAACCGCACCTCGGCCCTTCCACACACTGGACAGGCGGGCAGGGGTCCGTGCACCTGTGTCCTCAGATGAGCCTTTGCATTTGCTGGATGTTCCCTCCGTAGGTGGCCCTGGAGCCACTTCAGACAAAGCCTCCCCAGCGCCCACAGCGGCTGTCCCGCTGTCTGCCCTCAGCATCCTCGCACGTTGTCCCACGTGTGAGCCAGGTCAGTGTCTGTCCCCTCCCCAGGGCTGCAGTCCCAGACCCCACAGGGCTCAGGAGATGCCTCTGAGTGAGCCCCAGGCTCTGCTGTCCCCTGAGCAGTGACCACAGGCCCACACGACTGTGGCCCCCCGTGGGGCTCACATGACTGGAGCCATGTTCTCAGGGCCCCTGAACTTGCAGCCATGTGACCTTGGGCACGTATTCTGTGTGCCTCAGTTTCTCGTCTGACGATGGTGACAGACGTAGTGCCTGTACAAGGACAGTAAGAGCCTGACCAGGTCCAGAACTGCCTGCTGCTTGCCTGTTCCATCCTGGGGCCTCCTCATGCCCGCCCCGAGGGAGAGGCAGACAAATGGGCACAAGTGGAGGACATTAGGTGGGGCCAGGGACCGAGAGAATGAGGCAGGCAAGGGCATCGGAGTGTGCCTGGCAGTGCTTGCCTTTTTTTTTTTTTTTTTTGAGAGACAGAGAGACCCAGAGTGTGGTGGGGCAAAGGGAGGAGTGGAGAGAGGGATCTTGCATCCACTGGTTCGCTCCCTGGATGCCCTCAACAGCCAGGGTTGGTCCAGGTTGAAGCCAGGAGCACTGTCTGAGTCTCCCACGCGGATGGCAGGGGCGCAGCCACCCGAGCACCCGCTGCTCCCAGGAGCCCGTTAGCAGGCAGCTGGGTTGGAAGTGAAGTAGCCAGGACTCAGGCGTGGGATGCAGGTCTCCCCAGCGGCAGCTTGACCCCCCGTGCCACAGCACCCATCCTAAGGCTGCAAGTTTAGCCAAGTTCCTTCCAGACGAAGGCCCCAGCAGAACCTGGGGTTGGGGGGAGGAAGGAGCCATCTCGAGGGACAGGACTGTCAAGGTGAAGGGGGCGTCCCAGAGCTGACGGCTGGAGCGGGCTGCCCGTCCAGGGGAGCTGGGAGGCAGGAGCACACAGCTGTTGCAGGGCTGGGCCAGGACCAGGGTCCAGCCTCGGACATCCTGGGCCCTCCTCTTCCATGCGCCTGTGGGTGGCTGGAATCTACGGGACTCACGCAGATGGGCGTAAGACCCGGGACAGCCAAGGAGGCGGGCAGTGATCAGGTAGGCGGGCTGTTCTGGGAGGTGCCCCGCCCAGGAAGCTGGCAGCTGCTGTTTGGCATCTGCCAATCGAGAGAGGGGTTCTCCTTCCACCATTGTCCCTGGGCTGGGAAGGGCCTGCAGTCTGGGAAGAAGACTGTGTTGCTGTGTGCCCCCCGTTTCCTGGGAAGTCCAGTCTTGTGGAGAGCGTCCAGGGGCCAGGGAGGCCTTGGAGTCAGCACAAACCTTCACAGTGGGTGCGGGTCGGGGTGTAGGGAGAAGGGGCGCGAGGGCTGGCAGGGGCTTCAGGCATCAGCTTGAATCCAGGAGTAGTGACCGCACCCCAAGGCTCGGGGCCTGCATGGGCCAGTGGTCGTAGAGCCGGGCTGTCACCTCTCGCCAAAGATGGTCTTGATTGTTCACCGAGGCATCGTGCGGCCCCACCACGTTAGATAAAAATAGCCACCGGCAGGGAGGCCCCGGCAGACTCCCAGAGGGATTTTCAGCTGTAGCGGCCCTGCAGTGCTGCCTGGGGACCACCGACGTGAGCACGTGCCCTGGGCCTCAGCACACGTGTGCTGCAAGCGGTGTACATGCGTGCGCGCACCGTGCCCTCCTCCTGCTCCCAGCTGCCTCCCCTCCCCGTCGCCTCCTGTCTATTTTTAGCTCCCTCCCCAGGGCCGCTGGCTGGGAAGGCAGCTTTTCTGTTTGGAGCTGCTTCTTGGTGAACGTTTGGTGCTGGGAGGGCGGCCGTGGCAGGCTCAGCGCGGAGCGGGCTGCTGGCTGCACTTCATGCCTAGCGCCCCTTCTCCTTGTGGCAGTGCCCTCTGGGGGCAGGGGGATGAACCCCAGACTGCTGACCAGGTCTTCCCAAGACATGTAGGGAGGGACAGCAGCTGCCATGGTTCTGGACCCGTGACCCCCTGGGGACGGGGCACCAGAATGGCCCAGGGCCTCCCATGGCTGAGTTTCTCCCAGGAGGATGTGGGAAGCCTTTTCTGTCTTCAGGAGGGCAAGAACCAGACTGTGCTGAAGCCGGAGCACACTCCTGGCCCGTGTGTGTACGCAGCACTGGCTCGGGTTCTCCCGAGGGCCCAGGGAGACAGGCGAGTGTGGGAGTGGACGCAATGGGTGGCACGGAGGGAGGGCGTTCTGGCCCAGGCCTTGGCTCTGCTGGTGTGTTGCTGACCTATGTCCTTGGATCGCCCAGAAGATGAGTGTCTCCCCAAGAGAACTGTGGCTCCGACTGTACGGCCATGGCACGTGTGGCCGTGGAGGCAGCCCTGGCAAAGCAGGTGTGCTTTCCTTGGCTCCCAGCAAACCCAAACCGGGAGGACCTGAGCCCAGAGCCAGCCTGCGCCTGAGAGGGGGGCTCTTCCCCAGCCACGTGCCGCTGGGCTGTGCTGGACGGGCGCCAGTGGGGCCCAGAGAGCCTCCCATCAACAGCCGCTGAGAAGGCAAGGACGGGTCCTCTAGAGCAAGTCTAGTCTCGTTCCCGCCATGTGACCAGTGGGCGCCCCCAAGGGTGCAGT